AAGAATCCTAGAAAATCACAAATAGTCTGTGTACCATTTAACCACTGAAGACATTTGGAAACTTAGGTGCAACCAACCATGTTAATTTGCTTCATGTTTATTTGTGAGATTTTATTAAAATTATCTGATAGACGAAAGCCTAAATTTATCAACCTCAGGGATTAATCTGGTGCCATTGGAGAGAAGGAAAAAAATTAGCCACGAATTCCATTCATACTCCTGTACGCAGAATTCCTGTGGGAACACATTCTGCACATCCAAGTCAACCAAACTCACTTTGAGGTCAAGGACTACTTCAGGTGAGTTTCAGCAGAAAGAATTTTGCCATCTGTTTGATATATTATTCATTTTAAATATTCAGAGAATTGCAAATGCCAACAGAGGACATTAGGTTGAATGCAAGCCCTCCTATGCATATTCAAGCAGCTTTATATATCCTTCATGAGCCAAAACAAAGTGACTAAATGAGAAGGTACAGAGAATAGACCATGGTGAACAAAAGGATGCACGAAGTCTTCCATGTGAAATCTAAATAACATTAGGCCATGGCAAGATCTTCAAGGTCAGGTATAATAAAGAAATTTAATTTTGTACCAGGTGTACTATAATCGTCTAAAAAGTTTTTTTCTATATATGAGTTAAGCTATGACTTAAAATGTAATTTTTGTCAGGTCTTCAACTTGTAATGTGCCAAAGGATGCCTTAAATTTTTCAGTTTTAAGGCCTTCCAAGAGATTTTATATTTGGAAATATTTTCCGTCCTATATTATCCTCAATTCAATAACCTCAGATATCAGGTTAACAGAAGAATGAAGACTGGCCCAAGGATGCACTGCTATATATGTGTGTATATGTGTTTGTGTGTGTGCACGTATATTCATATGTGTATTTATATGCATATATATTTTATATGTTTTAGATTAATGTATGTGATTAATAGATAAAACCACAAATTCAATATAACTGGCAGAATAACTCTCTTAAAGACTGTCTTCATAAAATAGCCCGTTGTATATAAAATATGACAGTTGGATTGTATATTAATTAGCCACCTGTAAGGAGGATAATACATTTGTACGTACAAAGCTAAAGTGAACACTGGATCTTAAAAAAAACCAGCATCCTTAAGCAATGAAATACGTATCTTAGTTTGTTTCCCTACTTAACTATTTTGCTCTCTGATTTCCTCATGAAAATGTCCAAGTCTACAGTTTGTACTTTTTTCACAAAGGGGCAGTAATGCCTGTAAAATCATTCCAGGTCAAAGTAGACCACTTTTTCTCACTTTCCTTACCAAATATCAACTTTCTTCTTTCAACTGAAGTGGTTTTACCATATTTTATTTACTTCCTTATCCAAATATTATTTGTCTAGCAGTCTCAAACCTATGGACCCACAAGAAGTAAAAAAATAAAACTATGGACAGTGAAAATAGTTGTCTCAAATCCCATGCAGATGGACTTTGATGTATTCATGCAGAAGCTTATGACGCATCTCAAACATTCTTTGGGCCAGCTGTGAATAATGGCAACTAAGAGCACCAGGAAACTAGAAATATCCAGCATGCTGTGCTCCCTGAGAATAGAAGCAAATCCACCCTACTGAGCTATAAACCCAACAGGTGTTCCAAATTATGGAATTAGAATTCGTAACAATGTTGACCCCAGTCTGTGAACAACTGAAAGAATTTACTGAGGAATTGTGTGTTTGATGCTGCACTGTAATCTCAACCTCTGGAATAGTAAGCATTCATTAATTTATTTAGCAAATATTTATTGACCTCCAGTAACAAATAAAAGACTCTGTCTTAGGTATATAAGACTCTGTCTTACATTAGAATGCAGAAGAGTGTGCATTTGTGCATGCATAAATGTGTTCCTGTATATGTACATACATATTTACATATTACATGTACATCTATATATGTGTGCATGTATGTATACATATATTTGTGGGTCTGTTTGTTCTGTGATGTTAAATATTTCTTCTTCATATAGAATATAAAGAAGAGATAAACATCTGTCTCACAAAGAAAACACTGGTTTTTTTCTTTCCTTTCTGGTGTTTTGCTAATGCATTGAAATGATCAAAAAATCAGCAGCCAAACTCTTGTCTAATGTGAACCATTAGTATTACTTAAATTATTTCCTGAAGTTCCGTCTCCAGGATGATCAGTGATCTCTAGCTTGTTCCCTGCTTGCTTCTAGCTGGCAAGGTTTTTCATGATAATTGCCCTCTTGCCTTTTTAGCTTTCAGCAACTTTAGAATTTCTGCACTAATTTATCTCTGTTTGGGATGTAAATTGCATGATATCAGTAATAGCTATGATTATAGATCTGATAGTACTTTCAAATCCAGTCTCAGGATTTGGTCTGATCTAGCTGGATTTCTGGGTGTCCTGCACTGTCTGCTTGACAAGTAGCCTATGTCTAAGCTGTCCTGGATCATGTTCTCTGATAGATGTATTATTATTCCTACAAATTGAAATAGACTTACTTCTTTCTTGCCAGAGAGACTTATTTTGAAGTGTCATGGCTTCTACAAAGGACCCATGTGCTCAGGGAATGAGACCTTCTGTTTAAACAGGAAAAAATATAATGCTTGCTATAATTGTCTTCCATTATGACTTATCTGCATTTTTTTTTTAAATCATGGGTTCTTACACAGAATTTGAAGCTACAATTTCCTACCCAATGCCTGAATTTCCTCTGCTAATTCTCCAACCAAAGGTCATGCAGACTTCTGCTTGACCACCGTCTGTAATGGGGCAGCATTCTTTTCCTCGCAGGAGACAATCTGTTAGGCTATTTCCAAAGATGAAATCGTTAGATTGTAATTCTTTAATCAAATGAAAATGTGCCTTCCTTTTTGACTCAGGTTTTTCATTCTAGTTCCACACAAAATACATCCTACCCCTCCATTCCAGAATAAATCTTACTTCACTTGGTTAAGCACGACCTTCACTGAGAAACACCTATTGAATTGCACCCCAGTCCTCAGCAGGATAGGCAGACCCTCCTCAGAGATAGCTAACTGGGGAACAGGACCACAATTTAGCACTTACGTTACAATTTAGTAGAGAAGCCATTGGTACTCTGATACTTTGTATGTCTGTTAAAACTCAGAGAAACATATAAGAGGCCTGATACTTGGAACTCTGGTTATACTCATTATCTCCTTTGTCAGAATTTTCCCTTCAGCAAGTTCTTAAGTGAGCATAAGAAAAAAAATTTAAATAAATAAACAAGAACATCCATCATCTAGGTGGGCTATATCAGGTGCCCTAGTGAAGCCATCAGAGTTCTGTAGTCTTCATTTTTCACCTCGACTTCCTCAGTGTGTGAGTTCAATTACGTCAAGTGCTTCTTCCATGCAGTCAGGGAAGATGACCATTGGAAACTCCATGCTCACAGCCTGTGACCCCAGCAAATGCACTCTCTCTCCTATTGTCCAGATGTTACTACATTGCCTGAAAGGACCCTGATTAGCCCAGGCAAAGGACATGGAGCTACTGGACAGGCCCAACACAGCTGCATGGGATGGAGAGGGAAAATTCTCAAAAGGAAAGAAATCTGGGCAATCCACCTAGCTCCATTACAAAAGGGTGAAAAATTTTAGAATACATGAATAAACAAGCAAAGAATGTCACCTGTATCTCATACAGTCCTGAAATCTGGCTTTGGTAAACTAGTGGGAAAAGTGAAACTGCCTTTTTCTTTTTGGAAAGTTTGACAATGGACAGCAGCTCAACATCTGTAGAAATCCCATTGTCCTTTAGTCTCCTGACATAATACCAATCTCATTTCTCGCACCTGAAAGACTTTCCATTCAATAAAGTCAAGGAGAGAATAAAGAGTAAAGCGGTCAGTCTCAAATAATAAAGGAGCTGGAAGATCACAATTTAGCAAGCCTCTGGCATGACAAAAATCAAGACCAGACGAGTATGCAAGCAAGAATCTGGAGGTTAGTACAGGATTACACCAGAGGAGGTTTTAAAAAATTCCATGTATGGCATTAGGGCCATACATAACACATAGGTGTCCCTATTACATAGGGACAAAATTAGTTTCCACAGAAGGATTTCTAAATATTTTGTATTCTACCACAATATGTCTATCTTCCCCCATCCTAAACACTGGATTCTTTTAATCCATAAAAGGTGATTTGGGTTCATACACCACACTCTATTAAAGTACACAGAGCTAAGCCTAGGAGATAAGTGCCTTAGGTACCTGACCTGGTCTTTGCCATCAACAGTACTTCACTCAGCGATTGGCCCACAGTATTTGCTCAGAAAGCGTTAAAATAAGACTGAAAATCTTGGACTAGTTGACTTTGAAAATCCTGACCATTTCTTAGTATCTATAGTTCTATTTGTGCAATAGTAAATCAATCCATGAAATTTGTATCAGATCCTTTTTACTGTTTTGGTTTCTGCTTTGTTTTAGAAACAAAGCACATTTTCAGAGCTACAAATTGGTGAAATATATTCTAATGCCATGCTATGGCCATGTTTAATTTTTCAAAGAATTCCCATGACATTTCTTCCACGAAGCAATTCTATCTTTGTAGTAGATATTATTGTTGTGTTTTTCAGATGATGGAATGGGTTCACTGTTGGGCCTTAGGAAAACTCCTAAACTACTGAATTTCAGTGATTCAGTTGGAACTTACTTCACTCTCCTCTTCCAATTTCTGACTGGGAACAATGTTCAAATGCCTTCTCTGCGTATAATATAGGGAAAAAGATACTGTTGACAGAAAAAATACTTCCTGTCTAAAACCAGTGCCAAACAGGAACAATGACAAAAAGAATGCCTAATTATGTAAAGTTTACTGCTTCGTTTAAAAGCCTTTCTATTGTACAGGATCCTTTTAATTACTGCGGTGAACTGCTATCTCCTGTGATCTTTCACGTACACTGCCATCTGTTTTTAAAATATCTTATGATATTGAAATAACATTGCATGTAATTTGCTGTCTTTTATTCGGTCTACCAGGACAATGTGAAGGACCCCACACAGTGTGACTGCGAATCTCAGGGCTTTCTATGAAAGAAGGAAAACGAAGTCAACTACAAAAACCCAGTATGTTCTCAAACTTCATCTGGACTGCAGCATCCGGATCAATAAATTATAAAAAACAGTCCTACCACTAATTAGCTATATGACATTAGGTAAGTTAATGTATTGTGCTGATTTTCAGTCTTCTCACTTGTGTAAAGAACAGATAGGCTAGATGAAAACCAAAGGACTTGTGGCCTCCAGTATCGTGGAGCGTCGCCTAATCATCTCTAGGAGCTCTTGCTCTGCCTGCAAACACACACAATTAAATCAAAGCTTTGTCATAATCACAAAATAATATCTTTGCTCAATACTTAATTCCAGGCTTGGTTTTACAACATCCAGACTTTCTTTGGCTGCTGAAATAATACTGTAGCGGAAAAACATGAACAGAAGTAATCCTAATGCATTGCACAAAAAAATACTCATGTGTGTTATTATGTTAGTATGTTATTATACATGTTTATGTTATTTGGCATATGGAGCATAGGGAATCATTAACTCAACAACAATGGAAACTCAAAACTCAACTATATTGAGTCCATAAGGTGAAGGAAGTTGGGCAAATCCAAGCTTACGTCTTATTAGAGCTTACAGCTTTGCCTTGCACATAGTAGATGATATATAAATATTTACATAGAATTTCTTTAGAATTTTATGATTTCATGATAATAATTATTTGAGTGGAAGAGGTAAGTTAATACATAACAAAACAGTGCAGTCTGCTCAGTACCTGATACATAGCAAAACTGAACTTTTAATTAATTAATCTATTTATTTGAAGAAAGAAAACTTGTCAAAATATTTTTCTAAAAGGCCTAAGTTTTTATTTCCATCTGAGATTATATTATGAACATTTAAAGGAAATAATTGAAAAATACGCAAAAGATATATAGGTAAGAATGATCAACCCAAGGATTAATAATAGCAAAATATTTGATACAGGTTGTTAAAAATTGGGTTGATTATGGTAATCATGGGGCATCTATAGGATGCATTCTTAAAAGGGTAATAATATACATAATAGTTAAGTAAAGGAAAACGTAGAATAGAAATTGTGTAATTATTGCCTGACACTGATTTAAATTTATTTCTAGAAATATGACATAATTTGTTAAGATAAATACATTAATGTTTTATGTATAGTAAAATATTTGGTTATTTTATCATATAAATATATTTATTGCATTTAACAAAATTAATTTAATTAATATATTATATATAATAAATAATATATAATAAAATGAAACACTATGTGACAAACTAAAATTCTTTAATATTAACAGCTATCTCAGGTTCTAGAACCATGGGAAGATTTTATTTTTCATAAGCATTATAAATTTTCCCTGCATAAATATTAAAAAAAGATTTTTTTCCCCTATTCTTTTTTTTTTACATACTTTTGTTTTAATTTTAGTACTACTACTCATTATTTGTGGGGCTTAAACAACTCAAGTTTTCTCCTGTTTCTTCTCCATAAAATGCAGGAGATGCTCAACTGAAAATTGCTTGGACCAATGATCTAATCAAAGATGTGAACCAGCCAAATGCAGCAGGCTCATCACCCAACCGTTATACAATTCTTGTGGAAACACAGCCTGAAACACCGTATTAATTCCAGAAGAATGTTTGAGCTGCACAGGTAAACCATCCATTCATTATAAGGCCCTTTAATGCAGAAAGAACAAACTTAAATGTCAACAAAAAATGGAAAGCATTGCAAGGAATGCCGAAGATTGAAGCAAGCCCTAAAGCAAAAGAGAGGCCACAGAATTGATGAGGAGTGTGGACGGCTGGAAAGTGCACCTTCCTGGTGTCCAAATGGTACAGACCCACGTAGCTTCCATGACCTGTTGCCAAGTGGAAATGTGGGCTCTGCACTGACAAATCATTGACAAGAAATCCAGAATTTTTGTAGTTTCTCAGTGCTGACCACCAACTATGTTGGTAACTTTTGTCTTTGCTGTTATTTTTAACACCCTGATGGCCATTATTTTGTGTTCAATAATGTAAGACTAGTAACACCAGAAACATGGGAGGGGATGAGAAAGAGGATGTTTACTAGATATGGAAGCACAGAATCCTAAAGACTTGTTTTGACCAAAACAGGTACCTCCAACTGAGGGACAGTCACTCTCAGGGAACATCACAGGGAAGGAGTGAGTAGAATAATAACCCTGACATCACTGCCCTTTCTCCCTCCATCCCCTGGACCTCCAGCCAGAACTCCCCATTAGCCAAGCCCAAAGATAAGCCAGAGATGGAGGGGGCCCATTGATGTGGTCACACAGGTCAGCCCGCTGGGCAGAGAGCAAAGTGAGTAAGAGAATCCTCATGTAGAGAGGATATGCAGGCCAAGAGAGGATATTTGGCACAAATCCTAAATTACTATTCATAAGGTATTAAAGCCAGAGTTTATCTCAAGAGTGCTCTGTACCTTTCAGTTAGCCCACATTTTTTCATTCCATCCAGGACATTTGTAACCAAATACAATCATCTGCCGAAGTGTAACCAAAGATAAACTAATGTATGACTTTGTAGCACCACAATCTAACAGGCTGTTAAACAGCATGATCGAATTAGAGGTCCTGAAAATGGCATAACTAATGGCACTGTCTTGGAAAAAAAAAAAATAGTGCTAATGCAGAGGTTCATGAAATGTGTATGAACCGTATAACATATTCATGCCCTATTACTGAGAATTTCAAAGTGTCTCACTGCTCGAGATAATAGGCCTCGATTCAATTCAGTCTGATGTGGCATGAATTTCATGCGCTAATTAGTAAAGCATTTCTTAATGATTAAGGGGGAAAAATCAGATAACGTTTGATTGGAAACACAACTGTCAGAGATAAAACATAGCTACAACTAAGGTTAGAAGGAATGCCATACATTTTGAATTCAGGTGTCTTAATTATGACAATTAATGATTGTATTCTCTCTATAAATGAATTCAACCAACATGGTAAGCATATGGTAATTAAAGTGCTTTTGTAGTGCAAGAAATTTAAACAAATGACATCAATAATAATCGTGTCCTTTCTTGCATTTTAAGTTTAGTTTCCTATCAAATCTGTTTTCTCCGTCAGTCATTTATGAGTTTTATATACTGTTAGTACTATAATAACAAGTATACTTCCAGGAGTTGATATCTGTTAACATTGGATTTCTGGCAAGAATGTAAATTATTTCCCATTCATTGAAGTTATAGATAGTGAATCCTGCTTTCTATCAGTGCTATGGAAGTTTGTTAAAAATAGCGTCGGATTATCAGACTACAGTGCCTAGAGTTAATAAAAAATAGACCATTGACCCAGTAGATATAGGTTAATATGGATAGCATTACATAAGGATAACTACATAAAATTTGATAGGTCATTTAAATTCTGAATACTCTGAGTGTAATCTAATCACAGGAGATGGTTTTAAAGGCTCACATTGTTATTGAAAGCTTTTTCACGCTGACACATTATTGATCCAGACTTCATCACCTCTTGCCTGGCCTGCTGCAATAACTGCCCTGCCTCCATGACCTCACAACTCCATTCCTACACACAGTTACCTAAGACTTTTTCCTCACTTCAGTAGATACTAAAGAGCCTCCATGATAAGACGCCAACCTCTTTTCCAGCCTCATCTTCCACTTTTCTTCTGTTCGTGCCTTACTCTTCTGGTCAATTCACTTGGTCATCTGTAAGTCTTTCACTCTTCTGCCACCTTGGAAGTCCCTTCCTCCTCCACCTGATTTGCCCCCATCCTCTGGAAAGATGGTTGCAGACCTTCAGAAAGACCGTTCAGAAATATCTCTCTGGAATCGAGATATCTCTGATTTGAGTAGCACAGTAAACATATTCACACTTTGCTTCCACACAAGACTATGATACTTGAGTATAGGTGTCCTTTTCTCTCCTCAATGCTTGGAACATGTTTTGACATAAAATAGATGTTCAAACAATATCCTCAGCAGTAAGATGGGTCAATCAATTGCCTATAACTTGATAAAACAAGAAAAGCACCTTTAAGGAATTGTATTATTCACTAGTCAAGAATACATGCTGAGGTTTATTCGTTTATATTTAGAACAGTATGAAACTCATTGCATATTGCTCCCATGTGTTGTTGGACAACCATCAACTACTAATCCACTAAGAAGAGAAGAGAATTAATTGCTATGGGAGGGGGAGGGGAGAGCAGGTGACAAGGTGATGATGATAAAGAGATTATGCCCCCAAGCCCCAAAACAAATTTATCTGTAAAAACAAAGAAAAAGTCTCGCTCACAAACAGTCTGTCTGAAACAAGAAAAACGGAAAGACTAAAATTTTATTTGTTTGCTCTTTTGCAAAGAGATCCATTCTTGATTCTGGGTGGCCCAAAAACAGTCATAGAGAAATAGAAGCTGGTCAAAGGAATGGAGAGACTGTTCCAAAGCCGAAGAGAAAGGATGCTGTGACCCTATTTCCTGATGCAGAGCTAAAATTTAAGTAACCACATAATCAAATGAACATATCCCTCAGTTCAAAGTGTAAATTCATTCATTCTTCAACAGAACTTTTGTTGATTATCTAAAACCCTGAGTTGAAGAAAGTGTTTCTCTCCTGAAAATGTATCAGGCAAATAACCAATCAGGGTGGATCCCAATGTACAGTGAGAGCCAAAGTTCCAGTATATTCTATGTGTGAAAAATGGACTCACGTAGATATTCAAGTAGCCATAAGGGGTAGAACTGCAATTTCTCCATTTTCTTTCTATTCCACAGTAAATGTTATCTATTATTAGAATGTTTTCATATGCAAACCACACTAGTCTGTTACTTCAGTCAGGCTGGCCTAAGCCACTACTAAATCCATAATTCCTAAGTCTTGACGTTCAGTAACTATACTTGTTTTTAGCATGTTTCACGTGCCTTTACCATAATCTTGTACGAGAGAATAGTATTTCTAACTCGATTTCGGAAAACCAGTATAGTGTGCACAAACAGTAACTTACAGAATAGCCCACTTACTCACTTTCAATACAAAGTCTACAGAGAGTCAATACTGATCACTATCCTTATATGGCATGATGATTCTCACTGGGAGAGCAGTAATGGAGACAGGGGGTAGTTGCGATTTATCTTTCAACTGTTCCAGTAAAATACCTGTTTATTTAAATCTACTTCTTTCTTGTCATTCTGTCTGAATGCAGTACAATTTAACCATAGTAGCAATAAGTTCCGGATTTTTGCCACAAAAATTTCATTTTATACTATATTATTCATTAAATGAATAACTTTAAGGTGACAGACATTTCTTCTATTTGTAAGACTTTTCATAAAGCTCAATCTACAAAGCAGAAATGGGCCATCAGATGCACGTTGGAATATATGGCTACTGTTACCGTTACATAACTTTAATACAATGGAAGACATGTCTGTGAGCACGCAGAACCCAGAACCTTTTAGCAAAGATGCTTCCAATTCAGAAGCAAAAACAAATGCTGATTTGTACCGTGTAGCATTGAGGCCAGAGCTAATGCAGCTCAAAAGCCATCCGTGTTGTATAGGGAAGCAAGGATACGCATTTCTTCAGGCATTTGTGACAAGACTGCCAGTATCCTGACCTCATATGCATGAATCCTATCAAACTGATCACTGAATACATTTTTTTTCTTAATAGTAGAAAAATTCATAAACCACAGAATTCTAAAAATTAAGATGCATCGGTCTGGTGTCTTTTTCTGAAAATAAAAAATAAAAAGAAACAGGAGGAGAGACAAAACCAAAGTCCTAAAACAAAGACACAAAAAAGTGTTGTTTTCTTTCTTTCCTACGAAGCAGCTTCTATCTATTGAGGTTGCTTTGCAAAGAGAAAAGTATGAGTTAGGGGCCAATAAATTGTGTGTTTTCCCAACTCAGTTCCTCTGCCTTTGCAGTAGGAATATCCCCTGATAGCTAAAGCCTTCTAGAGGCCATAATTCTTGTTTTTCCACCCCTACACACTTTTACATAAAACAAGAAAGACTGCCACTGCATGCACTTCGGAACAGTCAAAACATAGTCCTGGGGAAGTTATTCTGTAGTTTTCTAACTTTCCCTTATCTCTCCTCTGCCGAATCACAAAGTACACATGTTCGGAATTATCGATCTATCGCAACATCTATCTGAGGCAATGTGGGTGGAAGAGGTCGGTGTTGCCTTGCATGTTTCACTTTGTGATCATTAGTGACACCATCTTCCTCACTTTCATTTGCTTCCATAATGCAATTGAAATCTTGTGCCCTTTCTTGCCTGAAAAATAACTTTAAGAAATGCTTTGGGAAGATTGGTTCAAGATGGCAGAGTAGAAGAACGTGCACTCACACCCTCCTGTGAGAGCACCAGAATCACAACTAACTGCTGAACAATCATCGACAGGAAGACATTGGAACTCACCAAATACGATACCCCACATCCAAAGACAAAGGAGAAGCCACGGTGAGATGATAGGAGGAGCACAATCACAGTAAAGTCAAATCCTATGACCACTGGGTGCGTGACTCACAAATTGGAGAAAATTATACCACAAAAGTCCACCCACTGGAGTGAAGGTTCTGAGCCCCACATCAGGCTTCCCAACCTGGGATCCAAAAATGGGAGGAGGAATTCCCAGAGAATCTGGGACAACATTAAAGACACCAACATTTGCATTATAGGGGTCCCAGAAGGAGAAGAGAGAGAGAAAGGACCCAAGAAAATATCTGAAGAGATTAAAGTCAAAACTTCCCTAACATGGGAAAAGAAATAGCCACCCAAGTTCAGGAAGAGCAGAGACTCCCAGGCAGGATAAACCCAAGGAGAAACACGCCGAGACACATAGTAATCAAACTGACAAAAATTAAAGACAAAGAAAAATTATTAAAAGCAACAAGGGAAAAATGACAAATAACATACAAGGGAACTCCCATAAGGTTAACAGCTGATTTCTCAGCACAAACTCTACAAGCCAGAAGGGAGTGGCTGAATATATTTAAAGTGATGAAAAGGAATAAGATAAAACCAAGATTACTCTACCTGGCAAGGATCTCATTCAGATTCAACAGAGAAATCAAAAGCTTTACAGACAAGCAAAAGCTAAGAGAATTCAGGACCACCAAACCAGCTCTACAACAAATCCTAAAGGAACTTCTCTAAGTGGGAAACATAAGAGAAGAAAAGGGCTTACAAAAACAAGCCCAAAACAATTAAGAAAATGGTCATAGGAACATACATATCAATAATTACCTTAAATGTGAATAGATTAAATGCTCCAAACAAAAGACACAGGCTTGCTGAATGGATAAAAAAACAAGACCCATATATATGCTGTCTACAAGAGACCCACTTCAGACCTAGGGACACATACAGACTGAAAGTGAGGGGATGGAAAAAGATATTCCATGCAAATGGAAATCAAAAGAAAGCTGGAGTAGCAATACTCATATCAGATAAAATAGACTTCAAAATAATGTTACAATAAGGGCTTCCCTGGTGGCGCAGTGGTTGAGAGTCCACCTGCCGATGCAGGGGACACAGGTTTGTGCCCCAGTCTGGGAGGATCCCACATGCTGCAGAGCGGCTGGGCCCCTGAGCCATGGCGCTGAGCCTGAGTGTCCGGAGCCTGTGCTCCACAACGGGAGAGGCCACAGCAGTGAGAGGCCTGCATGCTACACAAAAAAAGAAAAAAATAATAATGTTACAAGAGACAAGGAAGGACACTACATAATGATCAAGGGATCAATCCAACAAGAAGATATAACATTTATAAATATATATGCACCCAACATAGGAGAACCTCAATATATAAGGCAAATGCTAACAGCTATAAAAGAGGAAATCAGCAGTAACACAATAATAGTGGGGGACTTTAACACCTCACTTACACCAATGGACAGATCATGCAGATAGAAAATCAATAAGGAAACACAAGCTTTCAATGACATAAGGCCAGATAGATTTAATTGATATTTATAGGACATTTCCATCCGAAAACAGCATATTACACTTTCTTTTCAAGTGCACATGGAACATTCTCCAGGATAGATCATATCTCAGGCCACAAATCATGCCTCGGTAAATTTAAGAAAATTGAAATCACATCAAGCATCTTTTCCGACTACAACACTATGAGATTAGAAACCAGTTACAGGGAAAAAAAACTAAAAAAGAGAAACACATGGAGGCTAAACAATACATTACTAAATAACCGAGATCACTGAAGAAATCAAAGAGGAAATCAAAAACTACCTAGAGACAAATGACAATGAAAACATGATGATCCAAAACCTATGGGATGCAGCAAAAGCAGTCCTAAGAGGGAAGTTTATAGCAATACAATCTTACATCAAGAAACAAGAAAAATCTCAAATAAACAATCTAACCTTACACCTAAAGGAACTAGAGAAAAAAGAACAAACAAAATCCAAAGTTAGCAGAAGGAAAGAAGTCATAAAGATCAGAGCAGAAATAAATGAAATAGAAACAAAGAAAACAATAGCAAAGATCAATAAAACTGAAAGCTGGTTCTTTGAGAAGGTAAACAAAATTGATAAACCTTTAGCCAGACTCATCAAGAAAAACAGGGAGAGGACTCAGATCAATAAAATTAGAAATGAAAAAGAAGTTACAATGGACACTGCAGAAATTCAAAGCATCATAAGAGACCACTACAAGCAACTCCATGCCAATAAATTGGAAAACCTGGAAGAAATGGAAAAAATCTTAGAAAGGTATAACCTTCGAAGACTGAAACAGGAAGAAATAGAAAATGTGAACGGACCAATCACAAGTAATAAAATTGAAACTGTGATTTAAAATCTTCCAACAAACAAACACCCAGGACCAGATGGCTTCACAGGTGAATTCTATCAGACATTTAGAGAAAAGCTAACACCCATCCTTCTCAAATATCTTCAAAAAAATTGCAGAGGAAGGAACAATCCCAAACTCATTCTACAAGGCCACCATTACCCTGATACTAAAACCAGACAGAGATACTACAAAAAAAAAAAAAAAAAGAAAATTACAGATCAATATCACTGATGAATATAGATGGAAAAATCCTCAACAAAATACTAGCAAACAGAATCAAACAACACATTAAAAGGATCATACACCATGATCAAGTGGGATTTACACCAGGGATGCAAGGATTCTTCAATATATGCCAGTCAATCAATGTGATACACCATATTAAAAATTTAAGGATAAAAAACATATGATCATCTCAATAGATGCAGAAAAACCTTTTGACAAAATTCAACACTGATTTATGATAAAAACGCACCAGAAAGTGGGCACAGAGGGAACCTACCCCAACTTAATAAAGGCCATATACGACAAACCCATAGCAAACATCATTCTCAATGGTGAAAAACTGAAAGCATTTCCTCTAAGATCAGGAACAAGACAAGGATGTCCACTCTCACCACTATTATTCAACATAGTTTTGGAAGTCCTAACCATGGCAATCAGAGAAGAAAAAGAAATAAAAGGAATACAAACTGGAAAAGAAGAAGTAAAACTGTCACTGTTGGCAGATGACATGATACTATACATAGAGAATCCTAAAGACGCCACCAGAAAACTACTAGAGCTAATCAGTGAATTTGGTAAAGTTGCAGGATACAAAATTAATGCACAGAAATCTCCTGCATTCCTATATACTAACAATGAAAGATCAGAAAGAGAAATTAAGGAAACAATCCCATTCACCAACGCAACAAAAAGAATAAAATAGCAAACCTACCTAAGGAGGTAAAAGACCTGTACTCTGAAAAGTAAAAGACACTGATGAAAGAAATCAAAGATGACACAAACAGATGGAGAGATATACTATATTCTTGGATTGGAAGAATCAGTATTGTGAAAATGACTATAATACCCAAAGCAATCTACAGATTCAATGCAATCCCTATCAAACTATCAATGGCATTTTTCACAGCACTAGAACAAAAAATTTCACAATTTGTATGGAAACACAAAAGACCCTGAATAGCCAATGCAATCTTAAGAAAGAAAAACGGAGCTGGAGGAATCAGGCTTCCTGACTTCAGACTATATTACAAAGCTACAGTAATCAAGACAATATGGTACTGGCACAAAAGCAGAAACACAGATCAATGGAACAGGATAGAAAGCCTAGAGATAAACCCACACACCTATGGTCAACTTATCTATGACAAAGGAGGCAAGGATATACAATGGAGAAAAGACAATCTCTTCAATAAGTGGTGCTGGGAAAACTGGACAGCCATATGCAAAAGAATGAAATTAGAACACTCCCTAACACCATACACAAAAATAAACTCAAAATGGATTAAAGACCTAAATGTAAGACTGGACACTATAAAACTCTTAGAGGAAAACATTCTTTTTTTTTTTGTTTTTTTTGTTTTTTTTGCGGTATGCGGGCCTCTCACTGTTGTGGCCTCTCCCGTTGCGGAGCACAGGCTCTGGACGCGCAGGCTCAGCGGCCATGGCTCACAGACCCAGCCGCTCTGCAGCATGTGGGATCTTCCCGGACCAA